CGCGAGTTGGACCCACCACTCTGAGGGTAGTTTCATGTTTCATGGGGCCCTGAATATGGTCCCTAACCTCCTAAATAAAGGGTTCTGACGTATGAGGCCAGAATGTGCGTAGGCTATATAAGGGGTATATCAGGGGTACCCTTTGCCTAAGGGTCCATGTACCTATATAGTACATACTTGGGCCCTAAAGCTACTATATGGGGACCCCTTCAGACCCCAAGTATACGCTATATAGGTACATGGACCCTTTGGGTTTATGGGCCCATTCTAAGGGACCATGTAACTACGCTTAGAACCACGAGCGCTGCAACTTGCTGAGAGCCACACACCGGGGCCGTCGAGCCGCGCGAGCTAGTCCACACCCTTAGGGTTTAGGGTTTAGGGTTTAGGGTTGAGGGTTTAGGGTTTAGGGTTTAGGGTTTAGGGTTGATTGTGTTTTTCCACACTGCTAGGGCAGTAGGCTCCAAAGACAAGAACTCCATTTTTCCAACAACCTTAAGCCGGAACCACAGCCATAGTTTCTGAACCTGCAGCCATCTGCTCAAAGCCGTTTAGGTCCCCTAAACCCTAAACCCTAAACCCTAAACCCTAAACCCTAAACCCTAAACCCTAAACCCTAAACCCTAAACCCCCAATAATTCGACTCTGGAAGCCTGAATCGTGAACCCCTAACACGGTCGGCGTTTGGCACATTTGTTGTTTTTTCCTTATTTGGGTCTATAAGGGACCCTATATATGATGTATATTTCTAAGCTCTAAGGGTTTAATGGCCAACCCAGCTAAACCCTGACGTGCAGAAGGCCCTAAATCTGAAACTCTGAAGCCCCTAAAGCCCTGAAGCCCTCATCCAAAAACATGTTTAGGGCTGACAGGGTTTCAGGGGTTGCAGCCCCAGACCGTCGCTTTCTCAGCAGGGAATGAGGGATAAGTACCTTCTCATTCCCTACAAACAACCAGCAAGTTAACTCCAGAAGTCCTTAAACCCTAAACCCTAAACCCTAAGCCATAAGCCCTAAACCCTAAATCCCTGAAATCCTAAAACCCTAAACCCTAAGCCCTCAGCCATAAGCCCTAAACCCTAAACCTAAACCCTAAACCCTAGACCCTAGACCCTAAACCCTAAACCCAAAACCCTAAACCCTAAACCCTAAACCCTAAACCCTAAACCTCAAACAAAAAGCCCATGGCAGGTCCAGCCTTCGGTTCAGCTCACAGCGACCATCGGCTCGCTGTACTACGTTGCCCCGGAGGCGTAGGGTTTAGGGTTTAGGGTTTAGGGTTTAGGGTTTAGGGTTTAGGGTTTATGGCTTAGGGCTTAGGGTTTAGGGTTTACGGTTTTAGGATTTCAGGGTTTCAGGGTTTAGGGTTTTTGGGTTTATTTGGGATATCTAAACGGCTACTTGGGGGGAGGGGGCCGCGGGTGGTGGGGGGTGTTGGAGTTTCGGTTTGTAAGTCGAGGGCACCGCGTGACAGGTTCCACGGATGCCGAGGGTTTGGATCCTCTAGAAGGGGCTCACTGAACGCGAGTTCCTTGTGCCAACTTTCGCGATCCAACTGAACAACTCTGGTGGGTTGGGATGTTCCCCATCATACTAACAGCCCTTAATGGGGATGATAATTGTGGGTGCTGAAATCCCTACCATGGACTGTTAATGAAGCATCTACGAAGATCCAGTGAAGGACTTGTCAGGGCGGAACCCTACTAAGCCCGCGATCCCAGATTTTTACGCCACAAGGGATTTCGGCTTGGGGGTTAGGCTTTAGGATTTAAGGTTTGGGGTTTAGGGTTTAGGAGTTTCGATGTGCATGTTTTTTTGGATTCGGAGTCCGGGCTCCCCATCCCGAAATGCTAAGGCTCTCAAACCTTCAGCCTCAACCCGGGTTCAGGGTTCAGGGTTTAGGGTTTAGGGTTTAGGGTTTAGGGTTTAGGGGAGCAAGATCCCATGGCTTGCAGGTTCTAGAAGGCTCCTATGGCATCCCCTGCGACATGTGGCCGCGCACTGAGTGGTCTGGGGCGGATTTGAGGGTCTAGGGTTTAGGGTTGTTGGAGGTTCCTAGAATAAAGTTTGTAGCATTTTCGAGTCGATTCATAAGGTTTGTAGTATGTTCGTGTCTATCAACAGTACCCCTATTTGGGGATGTAGCCTTTCAAAGGCCCGACCTGCAAATCCCCCAAGTACTCCATTAAGGGCAGAAGTGTCTGTGGGAAACCCTAACTCTAAAGCAACAAGCCGGCCCCAATACCTACATGATCTCACCTAAAGCCTCAAAAAACCTTCATCATAAGCCCCTCAGATGCCACCGAAACCAAAAGCCCTAAGCCCTCGACCCCTGAGCTACTAGACCCTTCTTGTCCCCACACTGATAAAATCTAAACCTCTAGGCCCCCTAGTTATAAGCAGAGTTACAAGAGCCTTAAATTGGGTTATAAGGAGCCTAGCTTATAGGTTACAAGTCCCTTAACTATAGTTAGTATAGCAAAGGGGCCCCTCCTTGTAGGCCCCCAAGACCCTACCCCTAAACCCTAACCCTGAACCCTAAACCCTGAACCCTAAACATAGTTGGCAGGTCGATGGGCGTCATCGTGTACATGCTGCTCAGTGGGAAGCCCCCCTTCGATGGCAAGGAGGATGCCGACGTTCCTGCACCCAGCTTCTGGTGAGCGCAGGCGAATCCTAAATTTAGGCCTAGCGGCACGGGCCGGCCCCCGCCCCGCAAAACAGGAAACCTCGAAGTGGGCATCGTTTTGTTTTTGTTTTTCTGCTCCGTCTTTATTCCGCTGCCCTGTCTGTCACCCCCCCCTCTCTCCTCTCTCACCATCTCTCTCCTTCTGTCTATGTTGGTGTCTCCTTTTCTTTTTGTCCGTTTCCATTTCAATTCAATGTATTGCTCCCTTTCTCGTTTCTCGCTTTCTTTCTTGCTCCCACTCTTTCTCCCTTTCTCCCTTTGCCTCTTTCTCCCTGTGTCCCTCTTTCCCTCTCTCTCTCTCTCTGTCTCGCTCGCTCTCGCTCTCTCCCTCTCGCTCTCACTCTCACTCTCTCTCTCTCTCTCTCTCCCTCCCTCTCGCTCTTCCCCTTCCCCCCCCGCGCGCGCGCGCGCGCGCGCGCGCGCGCACCCGCATCAGGAGCATCATTGGGGTTGGTTTGGGGAGCCCAAAAGACATTCTAAGCATGCGTTTTGCCTTCGAAAAACCTTCAGAAAACGCTGTAAACACGTGTTTTTGAGCTTGGGAAGCCTTTTGGACCGAGGAAGAGAGAGCATCATGAGCATCAGCGGCCTCCCCCAGGCCATCCGAAACCTCCTGAAACACGCCGATTATATGTGCTTGAACGCTTGCGTGCCCACCAAACCCCCAAAAGCAAGACCCCGAATGCCCTTAAGCGCATTCGGGGTCCTGCTGTTCGGGTGTTTTGTAGGCACGAAGCCGTTCGAGCGCGTAAAATGAGCGATTTTAGGGGCGTTTTTACGTGGACCCACAAAACACTCGGTATTTACGAGGTTTTCTGCTGTTGGAACACCCCCCCAAACCGAGAATCATGAGCATCAGCTGGGTCTCTGGGCCGTCGGCCCCGGAGGCCCACGAAGCCCATGAGAAGCGATGGCTCGATGATGCGCCCGGACCCCCGCGCATCAGCAGCATCAGCAGACCCCCCCCCGGACGTGGGTTTCGATGATGCGCACTTTGGGGGCGGGTCAAGGGCAACAGGGGTGGGGGTCGGAGGCACGCGTGAAAAACCTCACAAAACACGGTATTTACGGTGATTTCAGCGTTTTTCAGCGTTTTTTATTGCCTTGCCCCAAAATGTGGGGGGGGGTAGGGGGGGTACCCGGGCAGCTTTTCCATGGAGGGCACACCGCATAATCACGGACCATAGGCGGCTTCGCACAGGACATCGGGGTCCTTTGTAACCGCCCTCGCCCCTACCCCCCTCCCTCCCCTACCCCCCCTCCCGATTGCTGGGCTAAGTGATGGGGGCTTGGCTTGAACCCCAACATTTCTTTCCCCAACCCACAGCCCCCCCAACCCCCCCCCCCCTTTCCCCCCCCTTACCCCCCCCCCTTACCCCCCTCCCTCCCCCCGCCCGCCCGCACCCCCCCTCTCCGGTTGTTGGGCTTGAACTGATGGGGTGCCCTCCTTCAAGCTGGCTTCAGCTCCTGTATTGGTCCTGGTGCTACCCCCTACCGCCCCCCCCCCCCCTCAACGTTTCACAGCTGACGAGCGCGTTTTTAAACCTTTCAACTATGCTCCAGCGGGGTCGGCGGCTTGAGCCGGAGGCTCTTAAATCCTGCCCCCACGCCACCCGTGGTCCAGGGCGGAGCCCGCGTCGCACTAAAGCGCTAGCTTTAAGGGGCGAGCGCCCGAGCCGCCGACCCCGCCCAAAATTGCTTCACATTCGCGCGGGGCCCTTCGGGAGGCCTCCAAAACGGCATCCAAGGACCCTAAACCCTAAACCCTAACCCGAAACCCTAAACCCTAAACCCTAAACCCATGTCATACCACCTTGACTTGACTTGAGAGGTCCTTGCGCAAGTTTAGGTTAGATCAGGTATCTTCTAGGGTCCTGAAGGGAGGCGGGCTCAAGGGGGGTATGTAACCCAAGGTTCCCGAACACTCCCCACTTCTCCCTAAGCCTCCCCGAGGCTCCCGAAGCTTCCCTAAAGTTCCCAAGGTACCTACGCCTCATGAACCCCCTCCCATAAGGACCCGATAAATATCTTTCGATCTTGGGGGTTTTTAAGAGCCGCAGCATTGGCACAGGGATAGAGTGCACGACGTGAGTGAGGGCTGGGTCCCTGTTCCATGTGAAGCTAAAGCTCGCTCGCCCTCTCTCTCTCTCTCGCTTTTTTTTTTTTTTTTTTTTTTTTTTTTTTTTTTTTATGTTATCTCTCTCTCTCTCTCTCTCGCTCTCTCTGTTTGTTTGTATACACATGTATCTATGTATATATACACACGCATACAATGAAAACTCATGACAAGGAACGGTATTGTACCGGCAGCCATGGCTGAGTGCTTAGGTCGTCGCAAAGATCAAGCAGGGCCGCTTCATTTGCAACGACAAAAGGCCACGGAACCGATTTAGGGTTCAGGATTTAGGGTCTAGCCTGTAGGGCGTCGGTCATCAGTCCACATCCCAACAATTCGGAGCCCTTCAGCCCCCCAAAGTCGCAAATTTGCGTCTAGGTGGCAGATGCTTTCTGGAAAGTACTCATTCAGGGATTAAAGGAGGTACCCTTACAAGGGACCTTATGGGTTGTTTAGGGTTTATTTAGGGACTGCTTCGGTATACAGGGCCTGTATAAGGAATTTTCTAGGGGGGGGTTGTAGGGGAATAAGATTACCCCTTAATACTCCTCCAACAACAGGGCATCGGACCTCTAGGCGCCCTGGACGAGTTGGAAGAGACCCAGCTCTACCCACGAGAATCCAGGGAAAACAAGTTGTTGAGGTTTTGGGGTTTGGAGTTTAGGGGTTTAGGGGTTTAGGGGTTTAGGGGTTTAGGGGTTTAGGGTTTAGGGTTTAGGGTTTAGGGTTTAGGGTTTAGGGTTTAGGGTTTAGGGTTTAGGCTGTAGGCTGTAGGGTCCCTATCTGACCCCTGAAGGAACGCTCCCTGTTCCCTACGCAGGTGGGAGGGCATCTCCGAGACAGCCAAGCACTTTGTCCGCAGCCTGCTGCGGAAGGACGCTCCGCTTGAACCCTAAATCCATAAACCCAACCCTAAACCCTAGCCCTAAACCCTAAACCCTAAACCCTAGACTCCAAACTCCCTAAACCCTAGTAACCCCCCCCAGCCGTAGACTGCCTGAACTCCCTAAACTCTAAACTCTAAACCCAGAAGTGACAAAACCCAAACTTGGAGTGAGCTCAAACAGAAGCACCGGCAAAAACACCAGCAAAGCAGCAGGGTCAGGGTTAGGGTTTAGGGTTCAGAGCTAGGGAATGATCACATGTTTTGTATCGAACAACTTGTGATGTTTCGCTACCTTTTTGTGTTCTCCCGTGTGTGCTATGTTTGGTGCTACTAGGATTGCCCAGGGCCAACGTGCTTGGAGTTCCTTTTGCTCGTTTCTGCCTGTGTGATATCTGCAAAACCTTACTTAAATGTTACCAGGGCGGGGAGCATCTGAACCCAATCACTCTAAGCCCTAAATTCCATGAAATCTCTAAAGCCCTATCCTTAAAGCCGTAAGTACGAAACTCCCGAAACCTTAAGCTCCCCAAACCTGAACCCCTTGGTTCTTCGTAGGGAATGAGAGAACTAGGGAAAGCAGCGGTACCCTTTGTGAGGGTTCCTGTAAACAGGAGTCCCTAAACCCTAAACCCTAAACCCTAAACCCTAAACCCTAAACCCCTTTTGGTCTTTATCTGTGGACATACCCCTCGAAGCAGGAGACCCGTTTGGCCCTTCAAGGGCTCCGGGTGCCGAAATGTAACTAACACCACAACGGGTCGCTGGCAGCCCAGCAGGGCCCCCGAATCCCTAAACCCTAAACCCTAGACCCTAAGCCCTAAACCCTAAACCCTAAACCCTAAGCCCTACATTTCGCGTAGACTCGGGGGAAGGTCCTCCCCGTGCCCCTCCTTCGAACGCATCCCTGGGAAGGATCCCTACGAGCGCCTCTCTGCAGCGGAAGCCGCGCAACATGCCTGGCTCAAGATGGACTGGGGGGGGTGGGGGGGGGGAGAAGTTAACAGGCCTGGGGGTTTAGGGTTTAGGGTTTAGGGGGAGAGAGTGGGGGGCAGGGGGGGAGTTGAAAGGCCTGAGTTGGGATGTTCCCCACGTATACTAGCAGTCCTGAATAGGGCTGATGATCGGGGGGTACCCCTATTAAGGACTGCTAGTATAAGGGGGGCACACCCAAAAGGCCTGAGGGCTTAAGATTTTGGTTTTCGGGTTTTGGGCGGCTGGCCCTGTACCACATATTCTTCAGACTTTGGTTCGGTTTCGGGCCCAAAGCGAAACCCTGAACCCTGATCTTCGAAGCCCTAAACCCTGGATCCTAAACCCGAAACTCTGAACCCTAAACCCTAAACCCTAAACCCTCAACCTAAATCCTAAACCCTAAACCCTAAACCCTAAACCCTAAGCCCTAAGCCCTAAACCCTAAACCCTGACCCTAGACCCTAGACCCTAGACCCTAGACCCTAGACCCTAAACCCTAAACCCTAAACCCTAAACCCTAAACCCTAAACCCTAACCCCTAACCCTAACCCTGACTGTCGCAGCTGGTGTGTCTTAGATCCTGAGCCCTAAACTTATGCGTCTAGGGTTTAGAGTTTAGGGTTGAGGGTGGTTTGGATCCTCAAACCCCACGCCTACTGCATACCCCATCCACGAAATTCAGGGCTTTAGTCGGATTAGATGCTTTGGGGGTTTAGGGTGTTAGGGTGTTAGGGTTTTAGGGGGTTTAGGGTTTAGGGTTTGGGGTTTGGGGTTTAGGGTTTAGGGTTTAGGGCGACTGAGGGTTTCCCTGTGCCCCCCCGGAACCCTCAGCCTACAGCTCGGAGGACCAGGCAGCAAAGGCCTCCTGGCCACAGGCCAGTGCCTGCTTGTTCCGAGGTTTAGGGTTTTCGGGTTTAGGGTTGAGGGTTTAGGGTTTAGGGTTTAGGGTTTAGGGTTCAGGGTTCAGGGTTCAGCGGTTTAGGGTGGATGCACAGCAGTGGCCCTGTTCCCTGCTTTGTTGGCTTAGGGGCCCCTTCTAGACCCAATTTGGTGAACCGCAAGGAGCGCCCTTGCAAATTGTAGGTTACTGGGGAACCTGGGAGTCTGCTTTTTGACCATACATAGGTCCGGCAAGTTAGGGTTTAGGGTTTAGGGTTAAGGGTTAGGGTTCAGGGTTTAGTTTCTTTTTCCGGTCGGGGGAGGGGGGGGGGGCGTCAGGGTTTAGGGTTTGGGGTTTGGGGTTTGGGGTTTAAGTTTAGGGTTTAGGGCTTAGGGTTTTGAACCTTCTGTTCATGCTGATACGGATGGGAGGCAACTCAGTTGTTTACGGGAATGTGGCAAGTGCGATGAAATTCTTCCCAGGTGAAATCTTGTATCGTTGTTGATCGCAACCCCAGACCCTAAACCCTAGTTAAACCCTAATCCCTAAACCCTAAGCCCTAAACCCTAAACCCTAAACCCTACAAACCCCAAATGTTACCCATGTAGCCGTGGCTGTCCGTTCTTGTCTTCCTTGCTCCCTCCCTGAACCTCCTAAGACCCCAAACCCTTCAACCCTTGACCCCCATTCTAAACCCTAAACCCTAAACCCTAAACCCTAAACCCCCAACCCCCCCCCCCCCGTCCCCGCCCCACCCCCCCTTGTCAGGGCACGCCCGACGCGGAGCTTGAGTTGCCAATCAACCGATGCGTGGTTCGCGACATGTGGAAGTTCGCGCAGGCGGGGCTTAGGGCTTAGAGTTTTGCGAAGACAAACTTAAGTCGGCCTAAGGTTGAGGGTTTAGGTTTAGGTACTAGGGTTGAGGGTTCAAGGGTGTAGGGTTTAGGGTTTAGGGTGTAGGGTTTACAGTTTAGGGTTTTTCGAAGCCTGTGCTGGCTAGGGGTTGAGGGTGTAGGGCTTGTCCTGCTGCAGGCTTGCATCTTTCATGTCTTAAGATCTCTTGAGGCTTGAATGTGGCTAACAACTTTCAGTGCGGATTTCTCGTGCAGTTCTGCTTTGAAATTTCAAGCTGTCCCGAACACCAGTCCAGGATGCAAACAACCAACCCATTCATTTGCTGATAAAACCCTCTAAATCCCTACAAAGCCTTACAACCCAGAGCCTTTAAACTCCTTCAGACCTAAGACTTAAACCCTAAACCTTTAGACCCCTACAAAACCCTAAGCGCGAAACCCCGAAAAAAACTACAAAACCCCAAAATCCCGCCAACCCTAAACGCCCTAAAAAACTACAAGACCCGAAGCCCCCAACCCAAACTCCTGAAAACCTTTAACCCAACCCCTGATTCCCCTCCTCCCCCTACACCCTACACCCTACACCCTACACCCTAAACCCTAAACCCTAAACCCTAAACCCTAAACCCCTAAACCCTAAAACCCTAAACCCTAAACCCTAAACCCTAAACCCTAAACCCTAAACCCTAAACCCTAAACCCCTCTCATCCCCCCTTTCTGCCAGAACAACGCCATCACCCGCGCAGCGCTGGGCATCTTCGGCAAGCTGCAGAGCTCGTCGGCCTTTGGAGGCCGCGAGGAGGACTCCCCCCGTTTCTTGGGTTTAGGGTTTAGGGTTTAGGGTTTAGGGTTTAGGGTTTAGGGTTTAGGGTTGCTTGTGTTGTCTCTTTAAAGGGGGGTTGTGGGGTTTAGGGTTTGATTTTTTAGGTTTTTAGGGTTTAGGGTTTAGGGTTTAGGGTTTAGGGGTGTTTCTGTTTGTTTGGACTTGTTTGGGAGCGGGGGTTCCCTTTTTTGGAGGTTCCTTTGTTTGGTGGGTTTCGGGGTTAGAGTTTAGGGCTTCCCCTAAACCCTAAACCCTAAACCCTAAACCCTAAACCCTAGGTTTCTACATCCTTTGTGGGGCCAGGACGTCACGCTCCTGGAGCAGCGGTTCCGCAGCTTCGATGAGCACAGCAGCGGCAAGATCTCGGCCGAGACCTTCATCAAGGTGCGGTTTAGGGTTTAGGGTTTAGGGTTTAGGGTTTAGGGTTTAGGGTTTAGGGTTTAGGGTTTTGGACGGTCGGAATTTACCGTAACCCTAAATTCCACAGACCTCAAAAAAGCCTAGGCCCTATATCCGAAGATCTGAAGCTCTAGAGCGCATGGGGAGAGTGTGGTAGTTATAGAGGAGCTTGGAACCCCAGCTGGGAGGTTTCACCCTAAAACCCTGAATCCTGAAACCCTGCAGGGTTTCATAGGGTTTTGGGTTAGGGTTTAGGGTTCAAAGGGAACCTCCCGACCTATCCAACTGCTAGGGCACTGAAGCGGGAGGCCAGCCATGTTGCTCAGAGTTTGGCTAATCTAGGGGTCGGAATAATAACTAATCTAGGTTGGTCTTTGGGACATTTTGTGTTTTCCTTATTTGGGTGTGTAAGGGACCCTATATATATATTTATTTATTTATTTATTTATACAAATATTTCTTTTTTGGCTGTCGGAAGCTGCTTCAATTGCCAGGCGTGCGCTACCACATCTGAGGAGGTGGCCGTGAGCGATGAAGCGATAGCTGGGTGGTCCTTTGTTGGCCGAACGAGGCCTGATGCATTGTCCCATGTGCTCCAAGAACCACATCCACACGCCGAAGTCAGACGGCTTTCAGAATTCTTCTGGAAAGGGTTTCGAGACGGATCAGAGTACGGCGAGAACATGGTCAGACATGCTGCCGGCGAGTTGGGTATATATATATATGAATATCTCTATATATATATATATGTATATATATCTATATATGCATATAATTTTCTCAGGGTTTTGAAGGCCAACCCAGAATATAGGGGTCGGAGAAAGTGCTGATAGTATTTCTTGGGATGTTCCCCCTGATACTAGCAGTCCTTAGTAGAGATTATCGTACCCCCTATTGTAATCCTGCTAAGGACTGTTAGTACAAGGGGGAACATCCCAAAATATTTCATTGTGGTCCCTTTTATAAGAATTATACTATAATAATCCCTCAAACCCTCGTCTAATTATTCAGGCCCCTATATTACTCATTTTTCACCATACTCCATGTCGCTTGGAGCTGCCCTTGGTCAGCATGTAACCCTAATGGACGACGTACCTGCACAGTATATACTGGGGCCTCAAAGGGGTTCCTACATAGAGTAGCCTTGGGGCACAAGTGATGGCATAGGCACATGGACCCTTAGCGAAAGGTCGTACTCCTAAACCCTCAACCCCCTAGCAGGCCCCACCCGATCGACAATCACATTCTCTACCTGTAGGAGCCCAAGTAGAATTGCCAACGCTCCCCATTTTAAAATTGCTGCGTTTCCAAGCAACTACTCCCCAATATATGCATTACAGGCATAAGACCGGAACTAGAACTCTTTACCCTGAGCTGAACCCTGCATTCTCAACCTGAAACCCACAACCCACACCAAACCCTCCAACAGCTCTTAACCTTCTTCTGGCTCTCTTAAACCGGGATCTTATTATTCAGAGGCTCTATATCCCCAATGGTCCCCCTAATCCCTAAACGCTAAACCCTACACCCTAAACCCTGATCCTATCCCCTATCTGCTCTGTCAGGTCTTGAAGGAGTCGCTGCAGGTGCAGATCTCCAGCAGCGAGGAGAAAGAGCCTCGCTGGCGGAGCTTGCCGGTAGGCTTCAGGGCTTTTGGGGTTTTTACGGCTTTTAGGGCTTTTAGGGTTTAGGGTTTAGGGATGTCGCTTTTTTTGGCTTGCAAGAGCTCCCTGAAAGTTTAGGGTTTAATTAGGGCTTTGAGGGGTTTGGGTTTAGGGATGTCGCTTGTCGCCTTCCAAGAGTTCCCTAAGACCCATCTAGAGCTTGGAGTTGAAGGGGAACCGAACCATGGTGCTGCGTGTTCCTGGCCGATGGTCTATGGGTTTAGGGTTTAGGGTTTAGGGTTTAGGGTTTAGGGTGTGGGGTTTGCTGATGGTCTGCAGCCTTACGAAATGCACCTACACCGGGCTCTTTCGAACGAAGCGCAACCACCCTTTCTGCGTGGTGGGACAAGCATCCATCTTCAACACCAAATCCAAAAGAATGAATCACTCTTTTGGCATATAAGGGTCTTTCCTAAGATAGGGGGGGTACCCCTTTTATACCCCTAAATAGAAGAGAATCCCTTTAAAGGAGCCCCCGCAAAAAGGGTGCGCCCATTTTCGGAGCAAGAAGGACTCCGAGCAGATCAGCATAATTAGTTCTTCCGACGATAGGTTGATAGGTTGAGATGTTCCCCTTATGCTAACGACTAAAGTACCCCCTTATTATAGTCTCTATTCAGGACTGTTAGTATTATGGGGAACATCCCAAAAGGTAGGTTTTAGGGCACAGGCTTTCGGGTTTAAGGAGACAAACCCAGTGTTGCCGGGGCTGTCTTCTGAGAACCCTTTTGCCAGATTCTTCGACCGCATTGCTGACGTGAGCCTCCCGGCAGATGAGGCGCCAGCGGGAGCAACAACACATTAGGCTTTAGGCTTTAGGCTTTAGGCTTTAGGCTTTAGGCTTTAGGCTTTAGGCTTTAGGCTTTAGGGTTTAGGGTTTAGGGTTTAGGGCATAGGGCTTAGGGTTTAGGGTTTAGGGTTTAGGGTTTAGTTTAGGGGCCTGAAGCCCTAGACCCCAAGTTTTAAACCCTTCTCAACCCTAAACCCTAACCCCCACCCTCCAAAATTGTAAGGTATGTTCACCATGGGCCGGGTGGTCTACTGTGCCCGAACCTCCATGAAACCCTGGGTTTAGGGTTGAGGGTTTGAGGGTTTGAGGGTTTGGGGTTTAGGGTGTAGGGTTTAGGGCCTAAAGTTTAGGGTTTGGGGTTTGGGGTTGGGGTCTGGGGTTTGGGTTTGGGTTTGGGATCGTTTAGAGACGGATGCTCGACCCCGCAAGTCGCCTCTGATCACAGACAGGACGTATCCTTCGGCTCAAACTTTCTTGAACGCCTCTCTATAGCGATGTCGTTGGGCCCCCCCAAGTTGCCCAAAAACAAGAGCCCTTGCAGCCTTTGGGTTCTTACATCCCTTCTCGCCTAGGCTAAACGCCCTGCTGCACACCATGTACCCGTATGTACGCCGGAAGCAGCTGATCCTGCAACCTACTACTTGCTGAAGAACCCTCCCAAAAAGTATTCAACTCTTCCCCAAAAAAAAGAAATACAGTATCAGTCTCTTTCAAACAGTGGAAACCCTCATCCCTGAACCCTACTTGGAGGTTCATGGTACTTGATAACCCAGTTGTAACTGTACTTCTAACCCACTTATAACGGATATTAGGGCACTTAAAGGGCTTATAAGTGTTTCTTAAAAACAGTTATACTTGGGGGAACTAAACCTAAACCTTAAACCCTAAACCCCAATCCCTAAACCCTAAACCCCAAGTAAACACCGTGCTCCATCCCTGGCAGCAGGAGACTGCCGCCGAGGACGTCTCCAAGCATTGCGACCGATGGATTCGGGAGGTCAACTACAAGGAGTTCATCATGATTACGAAGGCGGGTCTCAAGCCTATAAGCCTTAAGCCCTAAGCCCTGAACCTTGAACCCTAAACAACCCTAAACATCATGACTACCAAGGCGGGGCTCACAGCGTTGGCTTAAAATGCTACAAGCGTTTAGGGTTTAGGGCATAGGCCTCCCCCCCCCCCCCCCCCCCCCCCCTTCAGCCTGAACCCTGCGTCGGTATGGCTACAATCCTTGGTAGCCCAGTGGTAGCCTTAACCCTAAACTCTTAACCCTAAACCCTAAACCTTTTTTTTTTTTTTTGGGGGGGGGGGGGGGGGGTCCGAGGTTCCCCAATAAAGGAACCAGCCCCAAAGAAGGGTGCCCTTATGACAGTACGGTCTCTGGGCTGCCAAGTGCATCCATGGCTATACTCCCTTGTATACCTAGGACCTTCCTTTTTTGAGGGCTGGGGTTCCCTGACAATCCCCTTAAAACCAAAAAGGGTTCCCTTTTAATCCTAGCTCCCTAAACCCTAAACACTAAACCCTAAACACTAAACCCTAAACCCTAAACCCTAGTGAGATTCATGCCCTAGACCTACAACTAAAGCTTAGCAGGCCTGAACCGCAAAAATGCCCCATAAACCCGAAGCCCTAAACCCTAAACTCCCTAAACCCCTAAACCCTAAACCCTAAACCCTAAACCACCTTGCTCCGAAGGCACAGCGCCGGAACATCACCACCGCGGCCATCCGCGAGGTGTTCCGCGCCTTCGACGAGAACGGCGACGGGCGCTCTCTCCCCCCATCCGGACTTGACTTGAGGGTTTACGGTTTAGGGTTTAGAGTTTAGGGTTTAGGGTTCAGGGTTTAGGGTTTAGGGTTTAGGGTTTAGGGTTTTAGGGTTTTAGGGTTTTAGGGTTTTAGGGTTCTAGGGTTTTAGGGTTTTAGGGTTTTAGGGTTTTGGGGTTTTGGGGTTTTAGGGTTTGAGGGTTTTAGGGTTTTAGGATTTTGGGTTTAGGGATGTTTAGGGTTTATTGTTACAAGTTTCTTTCTTTGTTTTGTGTTGAGTAGTTGGATGATGACTACTAGTTTTATTGTGGATGATGAGCCATGCTCTGCATGTTCTACGATTGATTTTTTGGTAGACCTATGTTATGCTTTACCTATCATAAACCCACACAATACACAATAAACGCGCTGTACTGTACCAGGCTGGTGTGATATATATATATATGTATATATATATATATATGTATGCTTGTAATTAGATGTGTGTATATCTGTTCGTCATTTCTTGTATGTGTAAATAAAAGGCCCACTCTCTCTCCATGTATATATGTATCTATATAGCTCATGCACATATGTAAATACATAAGTATATATGAATATAAAGCTAGAACATACATTTCGGGGTCAGCCCTGTTAACCCCAAACCCTTCCGAAACTCTGGAGTCTAAACCACTGCACAGGTACATCAAAGAAGATGATGCCCACAGCCTGCTAGGGCAGGAGTTCAAGGACACCATTAGCAGCTACGCCCGGGGGCCCGGCTGGCATCCGCTTCTGCTTTAGGGTTTTGCGTGCAGGGTTTAGGGTTTAGGGTTTAGGCTTCAGAGTTTTGATACCCTGAAGAACCATCTTGTCTTGATTTTGAGTGCTTGGTTGTTTCAAGGTGTGTAACCCAATACAGACCACAGGAACCCTACACCCTATGATGTTGATTCGCCCCCCCCCCCCCCCCCCCCTTCCCCCCTAAACCTAAACCCTAAACCCTAAACCCTAACCCCTAACCCCTAATCCCCAAACCCTAAACCCTAAACCCCCCCTCCCCCCAAGCCCACCTACCATGGATCCATAGCTCTCCCCTGGGTTTCAACCCTTTAGGGTTTAGGGTTTAGGGTTTAGGGTTTAGGGTTTAGGGTTTAGAGCTTAGGGTTTAGAAACCCTAAATCCTAAACCCTTTACAGTTTGAGGTTTAGTCCACGGCTGCCGGGGCTCAGGTCACCAAGCTGGGCAAGGATGTGATCGACTACCGCGACTTTTCCAAGCTCGTTTCCATGGAGATTGCAAAAGCGGAGGACGCAAGGGTCTAGGGTTAGGGTTTAGGGTTCAGGGTTCAGGGTTTAGGGTTTAGGGTTTAGGGTTTAGGTTTTAGGTCATCACAAGTTACGGCAGCAAGTCAGGACCATCCTCACAGCGAGGAGGCGAAGGCAGATGTTCCTGGCGCACCGGCCCTCAGTGGGCGTCTTGAGATTTTTGGGGTTTGTCGGTTGTATAGGGTTTTATAGGGTTTTATAGGGTTTAGGGTTTAGGGTTTAGGGTTTAGGGTTTAGGGTTTAGGGTCTATACCTACGAGCACCCCTCGGGTGTGTGGATGTCGGGGCATTTTGGTGTCTCAACCCAACAAAGACACGAAATGCAAACCCCCAGCCGCTGTCGGTACCCGACTTGCACAATAACTACGAACCCTAAACCCGAAACTCTACACCGGAAACCGCAACCCTACAAAGCCCTTGACGCCCTCAGCTAAACCCCCCTCTCTCTTTCGATAAAGGCAGGCCCCAGGTCCGCACCACCTGTCAGCGCTCTACTTGGAGTATCAGGGTACGAATATACTAAAAGTAATCTTGAACTCTAAGCTCTAAACCCTAAACCCTAAACCCCTAAAACCCTAAAACCCTAAACCCTAAACCCCTAAAACCCTAAACCCTAACACTCTAAACCCCTAAACCCCTAAACTTTTAAACCCTACACCCCAAAACCTTAAACCCTAAAACCACTAGGCCGAAGCTCTCGAGACCGACTCTGCCGAAGTTCTCACGCAGGGTCCGTCACCTTTTGGGGGGCTCCGTGGGTTCTAGGGTTAGTGAGTTTAGGGTTTAGGGTTTAGGGTTTAGGGTTTTAGGATTTTAGGGTTTAGGGCTTAGGATTTTAGGGTTGAGGGTTGAGGTCATAGGTTTGGATGCAACTTGGCTTTGGGCTCATGATGGTTTGGGGCTTAAGTTTGGGCAGGGTTTAGGATCTTTTGGGGTTTAGGGCTTAGGGTATAGGATGGTTTAGTTTTTAGGGTTTAGGGATTAGGGTATAGGGTTTAGGGATGGTTTAGGTTTGACGGTTTAGGGATTAGGGATGGGTAAGGAACTCCGCCAATCCCTCGGAGGTGCAGGCTTCGTGTGTTAGGTTTGGGCTCAGGTCTTTCGGGGTTAGGGTTTTAGCATCTACGGTTTAGGGCTTGGGGTTTCGGTGGTCACCGGCAAGCTCGCATAAGCACCTGCTCAGTTGCAGGGGCTTCCCCCCTTCCGTAGAAGAGAGTCGGCTTCGAGACCAAAGGGTCCATGTACCCATATAGTATACACTTGGGGTTTAAAAGGGGCTCCCATATAGTAGCTTTAGGGCCCAAGTATATGCTATATGGGTACATGGACCCTTAGGGTGACAGCCTTTGTTCAAGGTATTGGTTGCCTCATCACATCTTGCGCCTGGAAGCTGCGATTCTGCAAGTTGACGGTCATTCTTCGCCAGTCGCATGCCTTCGACGCGCAGGAAAGGCTTATAGGATTGGAGACTTGCGCAATATGAATACGATAGAACACTCCTCAAGACCTAGATCTTTCAATGCACACACTCGCCAGAAATGGAGATGTTCAGCGCTCCTGGCGGAGAGAGGTTCTCCTGAACAAATCGCGCTAGGGCTGAGGGTCATAGCCGGGAGAGGAGAAGAGACAGAGAAAGAGAAAGAGGTTAACACAGAGAGAGAGAGAGGGGGGTTTATTAATCCCAAACTCTGCCTTGAATTCCGGCCCCGTAAGGGGGTAGGTCAGGAGCGAATGATTTGGGCATCAATCCTAGATGAAAAGTTGTAAGGAATCGCAGTTTTCTGTTGCAGCCTCCAACTCCAAAATAGGGACGTGGGCAATTGCTTACTTAAGCCTTAAGCAAGTCAAACTCTCGGTGCTTATCGTCAAGGTGGGCCCGTCCGGCTTTCCGTCAAAAAAACGCTGGCCTGAATTCCGGCCCCGTAAGGGGTATTGGTCAGGAGCGAACGATTTGGGCATCGATCCTAGATGAGAAGTAAGTAAGGAAGCGCAGTTTTCTGTTGCAGCCTCAAACTCCAAAAATAGGAGAGCGCGTGGGCAGTTGCTTAATTCAAAATCTCTCTGCTTCTCGTCCTCGCAGGCCGGCGGCCTTTACGTTATTCCTGCAGCCTTCAGAACTCCTTTCTTCTTGGCCACCTTTGTTTCTTTAAATTGGGGCTTTTGTTTTGCATTTTTTGGGGGTTAGGCTCCCGTAGTGGAAAGTAGTCTTCCCGGAGGGTTTGAGCCAAACATATAAGTTTCTTTAAATTTACGTGGTTTCACTAATCAGATCCTCGGTTATGGTGCAAGCCAACTTGGTTGCTTGCCAGGAGTGGCGACGAAGTGTAGCCTCAACAGAAATCCAGTACTACTTTCCTAAGATGAGCGCTGCCAGCCACTTTAAGGCAGCTGAAAGTTGCCCATTCCGGGAATTTTGATGCCCAGAAATCACCCTAAAGCCTAAACCCTAAACCCTAAACCCTAAACCCATGCAGCATGCACATTCCCTGCAGGCTTGGCCGAGATTTCCACGGTGAGCCCAGTGCTGACACGCGAAGTGCTCGGCCCTTGGACACACAGGGGAAGGAAGTTAAAGGGTTTAGGGTTTAGGGTTTAGGGTTTAGGGCCAGTTTAGGGTTTAGGGTTTACGGTCTAGGGCTTACGGTTTAGGGTTTAGGGATAGCATGTATTTGGATGCTTCAGATGGATAATCGCACGACAGAACGTTCAAGTGCAGACAAAGCCAAACAGCGAGATTCCTTTGTTGGTGAGGCTCCGGCACGCCCTTGCATGTCAAACGTGCACAAGGCTAGTGAGTTCTACTCTCAATGATCCCCAAGTCGGGCCATTTGTGGGCTTAGTGATGAACTTTTCACCCAATTCCACCCCAAAAAAAAGGCTTTGGGTAGTACGTTCCAGTGCAGAAGTCCCTTGAGGTTACGGCAGATGTTACAGCCAAGATGTTCTTGATTGGTTCACTCCTTCGGGCGTGGAGTCGGCAAGTGCAAGAGGCTTCCAGGAATTGCGGCTTAAGGTTGAGAATAGGTCATTGAAGGGTTTAGGGTTGCGATGTTCCCCCTTATACTGACAGTCTTGAATCGGGATTCTAGTAACCCCTCTTAGAATCCCTATCCACGAAAGGATCATCCATTTCTAGGGTGTTAAGGTTTAGAGGTTGTTGGGGCTTTTCGGTGCGACGCCGGGTTGAGCACGCTTGTTGCACACTCAGGCAAGGGTGATGGTGCCAGAAGACGTCGAACGCCAAAGCCAAAACCCAAAACCCTAAACCCTAAACCCTCAACCTTATAACCCTAAACCCTTAACCCGTTTCCCGTAACCCTAACACTATTCGAGACATCGCCCCATCGAGGTCGCCGGCAGCCGTGAAGAGGACATGCCAAGACCAGAAAGCCTAACCCCCCCACCTAGCCTAAACCCGAAACCCTAAACCCTAAAGTTGGCCTAAACCCTAAACCTTAAACCCCAAACCCTAAACCCTAAACCCTAAACCCCAAACCCTAAACCCTAAACCCTAAACCCTAAACCCTAAACAGCAGTCTTCAGCCTCTCAAGCTGCTTCCCCGAAGCCCCCCACCCCCCTACCCCCCCGCCCCCCCACACTGTATCGGGCTCCAGTGTTCTGGGTTCTGGAGGTTAGGGTTTATGGTTTAGGGTTTGGGGTTTAGGGTTTGGGGTTTTTGGGTTTTTGGGTTTTTGAGTACTATACCGGATTTTTTTTTGGGTTCTGGGTTCCTACTATAGCTACGTATGCCTAAAAAGTATATACTTTTCAGGGTCTACTCCAAAGTAGGGTGTTTGGCTGCTTGAGAAGGCTTGTGGCCTCATGAGTTAGGGCTTATTAGGGTCAGGGGGTGAGTCCTTAGGGGCACAAAAACCACAAGCGCCCTTCAAAGCCGGCCCTGAATTGGCAGTTGCTTGGCAACCTTCGTGGTATGTCGGTCTCTTGTACACCTCAACTTAAGTTTCGAGCCCAAAGGACCGACACCCCTAACCCTTTTGAGCCACCCTTGCTCTTGCCTGGCAGGATAGAGCCAGACCTGCGTGAGGTGGGCGCTCGTGGGTGGGGCAGGGAAGTGCGGGAGGGCTTGTAGGGTTTAGGGCCTTTGGGGCTGATTTCTTGGGGTGTTCAGGGTTTAGGGTTTAGGGTTTAGGTTTAGGGGTCATGCCACAGCATCACTAACCTGAAGCGGCTCTATTCCGAGAAAGGAGATTCGTGCATTTGAGGCGGGAAAGTTTCCCTCCATCAGGGTTTAACTAAGGAACTGGAGTGCCAGAGGAGAGAGGTAAGGGAGGGTTCAGGGTGTTTAGCGTTTAGGGTTTAGGCAGTATTGTTAAGGGTTTATGGTTTAGGGTGCAGGGCGTAGGCTTAAAGGCATAGGGCGTCGGGCTCCGGGTTCGGGGCCACCTTTCTGAGGCACCAGGTGTAAAGCCTAAACCTTGTAAAGCCCGAAAACCCGGCTTATGGTCTTAGTTGGTGGTCTCCGAAGGGCCCATGGACCCAATACTGTGATCCCCAACCTGACCCAACTTGCGGTTTGTGAAATCCTTAATCCGCAAGCCCCAACCCCTAAGCTGGAATTGGGGTTTAGGGTTTAAGCTTTACGCTTTACAGTTGTAAGCCATCTAAACCCTAAAGCCTGAAACCCCCAAGCCCCAGAACATCAAGCCCTCCGTATGAAATGTCGAAGATTGGGCTGTACCTTTTTCATTTTGTTTGTTTTTTTTGGGGGGAGGTTCCTGTAATGAGGATTATAATGTATGTATACATATGTATATATATATATATATGTATATCTAGCTATCTGTCTATATATATATATATGTATGTGTGTGTTGGTTTCTTTTGTTCGTGTGGAAATGCGCAGCTTGTCATCAGGGAGTTCCCTTGCCGTCCGAGCGCCACGGCAGCCATGACACGACTGAGGACCAGGGTTCCGCCCCGAAACCTTAAACCCTCAACCCTCAAGCGTCATACAGACTCAAACCCTAAACCCTATAAGCCCTCAACCCTCAAACCCTAAACCCGAACCCTGGATTCATGGGGAGGGGGGGGGGGGTCATCGTCAACAATCCTTAAAAAACAGTGAAACCCTGGAGGTTCTAAAGGTTAGGGGTTTTCGCCCATCCGGAAACCCCATAACTTTAAAGGTAGTTCTCTAAATTACGGCCCCCTTTGCGGGTTCCTTTTGCAAGGGTGCCGTATTTGATAGGGGACAAGGTACCAAAGTTTCAGGAACTACCCATATTGAAGCGGGGGGTCGTTTTGGCGAGTGTATAAAAAATGTATATATATATATACACACATATATATATATATGTTATTCATGGCTCCCAATACACACGGTAAGTGTACCTTTGGGTGTTCTTTTTGGGGATTTTTGGGAATAGAACCAGTTGAGCCCTGAATGCACCCCCCCCCCCCCCCCCCCCCCCCCCCACCCCCCCCAACCCCAAAGCCACCAGTTTTTTCGGGAAGGTTCAGGGTTGTACCCCCGTCCTCCCCAGTGTAAAAGACTTTAGGCCCAAAAACTCCAAGTAAGCCTGGTACTATAGGCCTTGGGGGTACCGACTGATTGATATCACCTTTACTCCGCAATGCCTCCGGCCCGCAAAAACACCATGTGGACAGGGTTTATACGGTCAGGAAGCTACTCTCCAAGCTCTCCACCTCATCTCAGTTTTTTACGCACTCAACCCTGAAAACTCTAAACCATAAGTCCTTTCAAGCCTCAATTCCTGAGAGCCCTATCGAGGAGTGCGACGCCGACGCCCAGAGCGATGAGGAGCAGCTCGTAAATGCAGGAGCCCGAGAATGTCGCTCCCAGCCAGGGCCTAGCTTAGGGTTAAGGGTGTTTTAGTGGCTACCCCTGAATCCTAAACCCTAAACCCCCAAAGTATGTAAAACAATGGTCCTTTCTATGGCTGTTCGGGCTAGTTGTGGGGTTGCATACTTTGGGGGTTCATGTAACCACAAACGGACCTCCTTGAGACGAAGTGAGAGTGCCCAAAATGCTGGAAAAGCACCGTCAAGGAATCAGAATGGATGCAGAGAGTTTGATTCAGAATTAGGGGTTTCCGAAATTAGGGGTTCCTTATCGGGGTCCCTGTTAAAAATGAATCCTACTATTGGGGACTCTATTTGGGGTCCCTTATTTTCGTACACCCTCATTTACTGTGCAACCTGAGAGAGAGAGAGAGAGAGAGAGAGATCAAGGCAAAGTGTTTGAAGCTGTCGAATCGCAGAAAGGATCGTCGCAGAACTCTTTTCTGGGGGATGGGGAGGCTACGCGAGGTTGCTGTGTCACCCCTAAACCCTAAACCCTAAACCCTAAACCCTAAAACTTTGTTGTCACTGTTTGAAGAGGGGGGGGGGGGGAATGGGGGGGCTCGACGAAGAGCGACGGGGAGCAGGGGTCCAGTGATAGAGCGAACCGTGGATCGAGTCAAGGGCGCGCGTCTGCCCTGGAGCTCCCATGTCCTGAA